AAAAAAAAAAAAAAAAAAACACACACACACACACACACTCTGAGGGCAAATTTAGAAAATCAATTTAATGGGTCCTGGATTCACGAAAAAAGTAATATCGAGTCAATCTGATTCGATAATTGAATCAGGTAACAAAAATATCATTTTCGATATAAAGATAAATATTTATGAAACACAATATCCTGGACAAATTGTCATGCTTAGATGAGCAACGATCAATCATTAAATACACTAAATACATCAAACTAGACATTTATTCAGAAGTAATCATTAATCCCCCCACCCAATTTAGTTTTGATCTACTTCATATTCTCTGATTTCTGGATTACGGACTCGAGCAATTGAAGCAGCTACTAATACTTACATTAAGATAGATTATTTACGTCATTTCTTCGATCCTACGTTAAGGTAGATTATTTACAATTTACCCAATGCAGCTATGGACTGATTGAATATGCTATCTAAATTCTTATATTAATAGCAACACTATAGCTCCACTGCACCACTAAGTGGCTCATTTATTTCAAAACTTTTGATTCAAAAGCTTGGTTAAGTGTCCAGGATAATAATACAAAAAAAAAAAAAGACAAAAAAATGTACCTGCCACATAGTATTTATATCGGCTTAATGAAAATATAACATACGTCTTCACATATATTATTATCACTAAATTATAATTAATTAATATATATTTTAACCTTAATATATTAGTAACTTTTTAAAGCTAATTTACTACTTTGGATTGGTAGCTGATTTTATTAATAAAAACATATTTTTTTTTGGAATTCTTACACCTTTAATTTATAATTTAATCATAATAAATTTATATTTATTTTTAATATAAATATCAGATGTGTGTAAGTTTTTATTTGTTAAAATAAAATAAAATAAAATCCAAATACAGCTCCTTGTCCCCTTCTCTCTCTCTCTCTCTCTCTCTCTCTCTCTCTCTCTCTCTCTAGTCTCAATTCATACTCTAAAAAAAGCCATTTTCTCTTCTATATTTTCTCTCTCTAATGGAGTCGACCAAGTCGACGACGACCATGACCTGTCAACTTTAGCAGCAAAGTCTCATATATTCATTCGATTCTTCAAACATTTTTAGATATTTTTTCAGGTAATTTTTTGGATCTTCCAAAAGCAATGGGAGAAGAAGATAAAGGAGAAATAGTTCAGAAGCTGATTGAAACAGTGAATGAAATATCGAGCATTACTGAGTTCAGAAATTCAGTGAAAAAGCAGTATTGTAATTTAGCTAGGAGGCTTAAGTTGTTGACTCCTATGTTCGAAGAGATTCGTGATTGTAAAGAGCCACTCCCTGTTGACTCATTAAAAGCTTTGGTTTCTCTAAAATTAGCTCTTCAATCTGCTAAAGATGTCCTCAAATTCGGTAGCGAAGGTAGCAAAATTTATCTGGTGCGTATGTTTTTTTTTTTTTTTTTTTTTTTTTTTTTTTTTTTCCAATTATTAGCTCGTTTTTAGCTGATTTTTTTAGACTTTTTTTGTCTGGTATTAATATACTTTCTTATATGATTGGAGCAAATAGAGAAACAGATTAATCTTAGTAAATTTTTTTAATATTTTTTTTCTGATTTTATAGGATTTATGATTGATTTGCTTAAGATTGTTTGTGTTTCACATTTGAAGGAGCTTATGAAATCATCTAGAAAAGTTTGAATTTTTTTTCCCTTCAGAAATTTGTTCTTTGAAATTGCTGTAATTACAAATCGTTAGATCAGTGATAGGAAGTTGCAAATTAGCTATAAAGAAAAAGTGAGTACACTTTAAAGGTGAATCAGGGAGTGGGATTGGCTCTGGTTTCATCTATGACCTATATATGTTCACTCTCTTTAAACCCTTGTGATATTATCTTCTTACATGGGAATATGCAGTAAATGAATATTGCCGTCCCGCCAAATTTGATTGTGAGCCGCTTGAAGATTTCTAATAGTAGATATAGCTCACTTATGAGTCTGATTTTGTTTCACATGGCTTTAATTCTGGATATACTTTCCGATTCGCATAATCCATGAGCCAAATGGATTTTGATAATCCCTGATATGGACTCTGGTTCTGAATTGCTGGTTATTAATAAATGTAATCAAGCATAACTACCTCAACGTGTAGTGATTAGAGTTAAGATGCGAACCTCTTGCAGAGTTTGATTTCCACGTGTGATGGTCCAGTTTCAAACTTTAGAGTTGAAATCTCCATTTATTCTCCAAAACCTGATTTAATTTGGTAACAAGGAAATTAATTCCTGCCGAGGATGCTTTTATGACTTGATACGTTAATCGAACACTACAGGAAGGAGCGCTGTTATCTCTAACAAATGACTCAAGATTTCCTGTAGAAATTCCACTACTTGTTCTTCCTGGCCTCTTAGAGATGCTCCTTTCTTCTGGCAAAATTCTATATCTTTGTCTATGGACTTCTTCCTGGAGTTTGCTCCCACAGGAGTTACTACTCTGCCACACAAGCTTCTTTTGTTTACTTATTTTGTGAAGAAAACCAACGAGGTTGTCATCTTTAAGTCAACAGCGCTCCTCCGTGGCATAAATACACACACACACACACACCTCTACCCTTCTCCACTTAAATACCAAGCTTTTGTCGCCTAATCCACACATCATGTGTTGCGCTCTTATCATTAAACCAAAACCATGGGATCTCTTCCATGACAGAATATCTTGATTGGACTTACGTGATTCGTTCTCCCTGCTGCCCTAAAAGTGAGAAGCTGGCGACAAACTATAAGAAAAAGCAAATGAAAGGGAGGAAAATAAACCCATACATATCATAAAACGATGGAAGAGGAAAGAGAGATCAGAGAGTAGGCTCTAGACTTATGTTATGTGTGAAATTTCTAATCATGTGACATTAGCTATTGGGTTACTTTAGGAAAAAAGTTACCTACACCCGGTGTTTACACCATCTCATATTAATTTATGGTTAAGTGGTAAATTAAGCTGAGAATACATATTCATCTATTATGGTTAAATGATAAAGGTATGTGTAAAAGATACATGTCACGTATTTTTGAATTGGCACAAACACTGGGCGTAGACAAGTTTAACCCAGTTAGTGATTTCTAACTTCAAAATTGGCTGCTCATTATTTGCTCATATAGCTGAACAAGCTTTCTGAAGACTTTGGCAGGATTTTAGAATCACTCGCTGCTGTAAATGTAGTATCTTTATACGGATGTTCTAATCTGACAAGTGAAGAGAGTTGCCAGCAAGGAGCACAAAATGTTTCAATAGTTTTAATTATAATACATGGCCACTGAACTAATTGAAAGGCTCGTGGTATATCTGGTCAAAAAATTCTAAAAATATTTTACCACCTGTTCTAGCATAGTAACGTAATGTTGGTTGTCTGAGGTCATCACATTTTTGCTTCTTTACCCTGTTCCCCCCAAGGGCATTGGTGCACACTCTTTTGAAAACATCAAAAGGGCATTTTGTACGTCATTGTCTATAATTATGCACTTAAATCTATTTGAATATGCTTCAACAATTACTTGAGATGTGAGAAGATTAATTAGATTATGAAGAACATCACATTTTTCCGAGTACATTGGTGAAAACATGAAAGTTCTAGAACAAGTAAGTGTACCTGCCTCCTGTTAGCTGATAGCTTTTACTAGGAATTTGGTCCCTCGTGAACCTTTACATTAACTGCTTGATTGGCCTGATATCCAGACACAATAAACTGACTTGTTCTTTAGGATGCCGAGAGATGTCTGAACGCCTGGCAGGTACCCTAGTCCCTAACTATACTTTCATTCTGCCGATTCACATTTTGCATTGCCAAATGATTCTCATAAACTTATTCTAAATTAAAGCTGGCATCATATATTAGACAGTTTTCTAATTTCATTGTGTGTAATGCACTCCTTGCAAGTAGGAGCAACAATTATGTTTAATCCTTGTAGAGTGGCAGTGAGATTCTTTGAACCATGACTCCTAATCTGTCCTACAGAATTTAAGTAACTCACTCATGAATTGGTGTCTATTTGCAGGTGCTAGAAAGGGAGCAGATCATGAATAAATTTCAAGAGGTGACGTCTCAGCTTGAACAAGCTTTAAGTGGAATTTATTATGAAAAGCTTGACATATCCGACGAAGTTAAAGAACAGGTGCACATCATTTTCTAATTAACTCTACCATTTCGGGGGGGGGGTGGGGGGGTTTATTGGG